CTGGCCTAGGAAACTTAGGGGTGATGCAGGGGGCTGCAGCACTAGGGCTACTCACCCCAGCCCCAGGGACTGGTACCTTTCCTGTGCAGCACGCCTTGTTTATTTGTCTGGGCTGATAAAGGAGTTTGAAGAAGGGGGGGGGGAAGCACTGTGTTCCCCTGGATTCTTGCTGGGAACAACCTCAACTCATTGTTCTGCCAACTTTTCTTGGATGGGCCTGGGTGGGAGGGGGTAGCAGGGACCTTGGAATGTCCTGGACTTGCCTCCTACTTCTGGTGGGGTCTCCTTCTAAGAGGCTGTGTGGTGTAAGGAGATAAGGTGCTGGCCATAGAGTCAGGAAGACCTGTACTCCCTTCCCACTGGTGACATTTCCTGACTGGGAGACCTGGCATGGGGGACCAAAGCTCACCTCTCTGAGCTTTGGCTTTTTCATCTATACAATGGGGATGAGAATTACGATAGTACCACCTTCTCAGAGGAGTATTGTGAGGCTCAAATGAAATCAGCTCCTTAGAGCCTTCAGGGACCTTCCTGTGCGAGATTTTTAATTCAATTTAGCAAGCATTATTAATCACCTACCAAGGGACATCAAGCACTGATAGGTTCTGGGGATTCAAAGATAAATTGTCTCTGCTCTCAAGGAGCTTACAGTCTACTAGAGAGAGTTGATGCATAAATAGTTATTAATTTGAATTCCCACCATACTGACTGCTTCTTAGTGGTGGGACCTTGGCCATGTCTTCTTTCTGAGGAAAATGAGTTTCACTACACCTATAAAAGGAGACAGTTGGACCAGGTAACCCATGAGGCCTGCTCCAACTTCAACTCCAGATTCTGATTCTGAGAGGCAGTGTGGTCCAGTGGGAAAGCACCCTAGATTTGCAGTCAGAAAACCAGGGTTCAAATCCCACTTACTGTGTATGATCTTGGGCAATTCACATAACATCTCTGGGCCTTAGTTTCCTTATCTGAAAAATGAAGGGTTAGCCTTGCTGGCCTCCAAGCTCCCTTCCTGCTCTAAATTAATGATTCCATGACTCTGATTTGGGGTCAAAACAAAACAAAACTAAGTGTAGCTATGAAGTAATGGGGTGTGTGTGTGTGTACTTGATAAGCTAGCTCTAAAGGCCAGTCCCAAAGGAGAATTCATTTCACTAATATTTGGATTCCCTTTAGGAACCTCTTGTACCAAACTCTTGATATCAAAGAGTACTCTGAGCTTGGGTGAAAGGGGACAGGTCCTGCTGACTTAGGCAGACAAGAATTACTCAACCCAGAGTGTAACTGGGACACTGGAGTTGGATGTTCTGAAAGACCCTTCCCTCATTCACCTGACACTATGTACCAATCTCAACTCTCCATTATGATAGCCTATCTCCTTAGCACTCCCCTTCTTAGATCATTATACTATAGGTATCCACTCTTGTCTGGACATCTGTGACTTTGACAAGTGACCTCACATCCTTTTCTTGGGTAATTTTTTCTCTCTTATCATCTTTCATCCCCCTCCCCCCCGCCATTCATATATTTAAAGTACAAACCAATATTTATTGGAAGTTGTCTCTCAAATATTTGTAGGAGGACATTTGGGAGTCAGTTGGGTCCGACTGAGACACAATTGCAAAGCATGTAAAATTGACCTTCTCTCCCCAGCCTTTTCAACTCCTTCACTCAAGGAAGCCTCAGGTGGAGGAATATTGGTGGGAGGAAAGGACAGGGATCAGGGAATGGGGCAGGGAGGGAGATAACAGAGTATTAGACTGTTTCATGGAATACATTCTCCTAAAGTGAAATTTAGGACCAGTAAATGTAGTCTTGTACTCGGGCTCAAAAAATCAATTTCCCAAGTATAGTATGAGAAGCATGGTTAGACAGCAGTTGTTCTGAAAAAGAGCAGGGACTTTTAAGGGAATGAAAGCTCAAAGCATTAGCAGAGTCATGTGGCCGCCAAAAAAGCTGATAAATTTTGGTGATGCATTAGGAGATACCTGAATTCCAGGAATAGAGAGGTGATAGACCCACATTGTACTCTGCCCCTCATTTAGAATATGATGTTCAGTTTTGTGAGGAAGTGTTTAAGAAGGACGTTGATTAAGCTGGGTAGTGTCCATTGGGGAGCAATCCTGGAAGATCATTTGAGGAAACTAGACGTGCCCAGGAGGGGTCTGATAACTGTCTTCAAGGATTTGAGGAGCTCACATGGAGGAAGGATTAGTCTTATTATATTTGGCCCAAAGGGCAGAACCAGGAGTGTCGGGTAAAAATTGCAAAATGGCCAATTTGGGCTTGATATTAGGAAAAATTTTCTACTAAACAGCCTTCCAAAGGTAGAATGGACTGGACTGAGAGGAGGCAATTTCTCTCTCCTTCCAGCAAAGGCTGGGAGACCCCTTGCTGGGTATGTTAGTGGGGATTCTTATGGCAGGGGTGGGGAACCTGCAGTCCTCAAGTGTGGCTGATTCAGTCAAAGGGCGTCATGTGCCTCGAGGCTACAGGACCCCCACCCCTGGATGGGGTGGACAAAATGGCCTTTGAAGTCTTTTCCAACTCTGGGATTCTATGATTTAACGAGAGCCTTAGTTCTAAGGCTCTTGGGAAGGTTAAATTGGGATATGTATCTTTTAATTCATGTGTCAGCCAGTGGGTGTGCTGATGAGAAGTAGTGTCTGTTATCAGGGAAAACTGTCCATGTTAATGTTGTTTGTAGACACAGGGGAATTAAAAAAGTGGAAAACATAGGGAAAAAAAACCCCAGCTTGGTTCCATTGCTCTCTGAGCTTCAGTTTCCTCATTTGTGAAATGAGTGGGTTGGACTTCATAATCACTAAACTCCCTTCCAACTTCAACATTTTACAATCCTAAATCATGAAGATTATGGTCATTTATGTGACCTGCTTTTTTTTTTAATGCTGAAGTATCATATAACAGTAACAATTATTGTTAATCATTATGTTTTTCTGATTGACTTTATTGTAAATTCTATTTGATTATATGAAACCCTCTTCATCCATCCATCCATTCATCCATCCACCCATCCATTCATTCATTCAGCAAATATCTGAGTGCTTATTCTGTTGTTGTTTTTGTTGTTGTTCAATCTTTTCAGTCGTTTCTGACTCTTCTTGACTCCATTTGGGGTTTTCTTGGCAAAGATATTAGAGTGATTTGCCATTTCCTTCTTTAGGTCATTTTACAGGTGGTGAAACTGAGGCAAACAGGGTTAAGTGGCTAGCCCAGAGTTACACAGCTAGTAAGTGTCTGAGGCTGGATTTGAACTAACAGAATCAGGAAGACGTGAGTGCAGATTTGTCCTCAGACATTAGTTGTGTGACCCTGGGTAAGTCACTTCACCTCTGTTTGCCTCAATTTCCTCATATGTGAAATGGAGATAATGATAGCATCTACCTTCTAGAGTTGTTGTGAGGATCAAATGAGATAATATTTGCAAAAAGCTCTTAGTACAGTGTCTGGCACATAATAAGCACTATATCAATGTTAGCTATCATTGACCAGAGCAGTGGCATCAAACTCTGAAGCTGAAGAGCAAGTTGGTTAATTGATGTTCAGCTAGCATACTTCCACTCCCAGGAAACTGAGTTTAAATGCTACTTTATGGCACTCTCTAGTATAGCTTGGTCTGGATTAGTGGGAATAAGAAATCCCCTGAAATGGATGCATTATTCAGATTCACACTGCATATTTCTATTGGGCTGGAACCAGTTGCCTTATTTTACATAATTATAAGTTTGAATGGTGTGAGGTCAAATACATTGGCTCACTTCATGGGATTCCTTATTCAAACTAATTGGGACCTAGCTGTATTACAAATGTCCCTTGTTAACTTGCCAGGGTCTCTGTGGAGCTAGGGTAGGCCCTTGGGCCAGTTCCTGTGCTCTGAGTTCCAGGTTAGTCCTTAAAGGGCCCCATGGATTTCTTAGTTGTAGTGTACCTTCAGAGAAGAAGTATTTTGTGTGGAAAATTCAAAGTCCTGACTATTCTTGTCTAGGACAACCTTGCTTTTCCCCTAATCCCTTATTGTGAGAGATAATTAGGCCTCTCTTTTAACGAGGCTGCTGCTGTTGCTGATAACTAGCATTTATATAGGGCTCTTAAGGATTGCTTTACACATGTTATCTCAAATGTGAAGTTAGTCATTCAGTCAATAAACATTTATTAAGCTCCTATTGTGTGCCAAGCAGCGTGCTGTATTTTGGGGACACAAAGAAAGGAAAAAGTTCCTGCTTTTAAAGGAGCCCATAATCCAGTGGGAGAGACAACAGGCATATAATTATGTTTAAACAAGATATATACAGGATAAATAGGAACTAATCAACAGAGGAAGGACGTTAGAATGAAAGGGGATGGGGAAAGGGGATGAAGTGTGGTGAAAAGAGTGCTGACCTGGAATCCAGACAATCTGGTTTCAAATCCTACCTCTGATGCTTACTAGCTATGTGATGGTGTACAAGTCACTTAACCTATGTTTGCCTCAATTTCCTCATCTGTAAAGTGGGGATAAAATAAAGTGGATAAAATAAAATAAAGAAATGACCAGGACTCTTCTGCAGTGAAGCCTTAGAGAAGCTGAGGGTTTGATCTAGTACCACAAAGAAAAAAACAGTCTGCCAGCCAGGGAGAGCCTCTGCATTCCTTCTCTGGCTCCCACTGCTTCATCCGCTGTTCCCAGTTCTATTTGGCACTGGATTCAGAGTTGGATGACCTAGGTTCGAATCCCAGCTTGGCCGCAGGTGTGATGTTAGGCAAATTCCTTACGAGTCCTGGGTTCCAGTTTCCTCATGTGTAAAATGAGGTGGCTGGACCACCAGACTGAACCTTCTAACACTGAATCTCTGATTCTAAGTTGTAACCAATGCAAAGACGTCATCTCCATGTTTCCAGGGCACCCTCGGTGATCACAAGTCTACTGTTGCCCAGACTGTCTCTCAGCCATGTATCTGTCACCAGCCCTCGCCCTAAATGTTTTCTGTTGTCCTTTCTAGGTTCCCTGCTATTCTTATGGTCAGAAGTTGTCCAAACTGGCCATCCTGAGGATAGCCTGTAACTATATCCTTTCCCTGGCCAGGCTGGCTGATCTGGACTACAGTGCTGACCACAGTAACATGAGCTTCTCTGAATGTGTGGAACAGTGTACCCGGACCCTGCAAGCAGAAGGCAGGTCCAAGAAGAGGAAGGTAGGTTCTGGGGGAATCCACGGGGATGATTTCCCTGTGACCTTGTCAGGGAGAAGAGGGGAACGGTGGTTCATGATTTTCAAGGGTCTGTTTGATGGAGGTCTTCATAGGAGGGTATGCCCACTGTGACAAGGACAGCAGACATGCAGGAACTCTGGAGATGGAGGGCTTAAGTCCTCCAGGGCCTGGCCATTGGGTCGTGGGAGAAGAGGAGGGCTATGTGCAGTAAAGGGGCTCTGACAATCCACAGACAGTGGACCTCATGAGACACTGGCCTATCAGCACAGTAGTGAGGGGATCCTTTGTGTAATGGACGTTAAAAAAAAAATTGGTAACCCTAGGCACACACATCCATGGGACTGTGTTCTAGGCGGGACCGTAGTCTTCATAACAAGGGCCCTCTCTCTGGAACATTAAGTGCTTAAATCTGTAACTTGAAGCAAATTGCCTAATTTCTCTGGGCCTCAGTTTTCCCATCTGTAAAGTGAAAGGATTATACTCAATAATCAGCCTATTAGATGCTGCGTAATGAAAGATTTATGTTCTTTAATGAGGATTCTTCCAGGTTACTGTGCTGTTGGGATTACTAGGCATGTGCAGAGAAATAAACTGTAGGTGTCCCCTTTGAGCCTCAGTTTCCTAATCTGCAGAATGGGGTTGGACTAGAAGATCTTTAGGGTCTCTGCTAGCTGGAGGCATTTTTTGATTCTTACTCAATGAGACCCGGTTGGAATGAGGCTGGCAGACAGAGGGATGCTAACTCCCCTCTCAAGGGTAGGACCACTAAGAACATATGCCATCCCATCCCACCCACTTAGGTTGGGGCCCCTTAAGAAACTGGGGCTAGAATCTCAGCATCTCAGAATTGGAAGTGACCTCGGAGGGCTTCCAATCCAACCAGGAACTCCCTCTAAGATTTCTCTAGCAAATAAATGGTCCTCTAGCCTTTGCTTAAAGACTCCAAGAAGAGGGAAAGCCACTATTTCCTGCGGCAGCACGTTCCACTTTGGGACGCCCACAATCTTTGGGAGATTTTCTACACTTCAAGCCTAAATCGGCCTCTTTAAAACCCCCACCATGCATTGCACCTAGTTATGCCATTGGGACAAAGCAGAACAGCATAATCCCTTTCCCTGTGACAACCCTTGAAAAGCTGGCCTCATCAAACGTTCGCAGCCATTTTCCCATCTCAAGGCTGAGGGAGTGGTGAGGGAGTGGGGAGTGAGGAGTGGGGAGGGAGAGATGGGGATTTTGAATGCTAGGGAGGCAGTGTGCTCAATCAGTCAACAAACGGTTATTAAGTGCCTACTATGTGCTGGAGACTGTGCTAAACAAAGACAAGCCCGCCCCTGCTCTCCGGAAGCTCTCAATTTCACGGGAGAGACGACTTTGGGACAACTATGTACATACACGATACATGCAGAGTAAATGTGCTTAATGCCGAGTCAGATGGCTGTGTGGCCTTGGGAGAGTGTCTTCACTTCCTTGGGCCTCAGTTTGCTCATCTGTAAGAGGAGGGAGTCGGACTTAGTGATTTAGTGTGAGGTGTCTTCCAGCTCGCCACCCTACCCCCTTCCTTTGCCCTTGCACAGATCCCTTCTTTCCCTGTCTACACCATCGCCGACCTCTCGCTTTCTCGGGGGCTCACCCCGATTACCCGGGGGCCCAGCCATCTGGCCCCGGGATGGGATGGGCCCATCTAGGAGCTGTTCCTGGGGCTCAGGCCTGTGATTGGGCGGGCATCAGGGAGAGTGTGCAGAGGCTGGCGGGGCCTCCTCCTGGGGCTGCCGTCTGCCCCCGGCCCCTTAGTTCCCTTACCCCACATCCTTCAGGAGCCCTCGGCCCAAGCCACATGGGCGCTGTCCGATGGGCAGGCCGGCCACTCACTAATTGCCTTGCGCATTCCGGCCACTTACTTACGGCGGGACCAATTAGATGAAATCACCATCAAGCCGGGGGTGAGAGAGGAAGCCTAGCCCGACTGCTTTTCCTCTGACCGTGTGACATGGGCAAATTAGGGCTGTGATTGATGGCTCTGCTGCCGCCGCCAGCGGCCCTCGGTGACAAAGGGAGTGTTGTAAACTCCGAGTGAACCTCCGCGGGGGTCAGGCAGCCAGGAGGGTGGAGAGGACAGGGGCACCCGAGGTGACCCAGGAGACACCTCCCCCCTCATTACAGAGAGAGGAAATGGAGCGCAAGGGACTGGCCCAGGGTCACAGGGGCGACAGAACTGGGATTCGAACCCAGAACATCTGATTTCCCCATTAGAAGGAGAGCTTTTTGAGGGCAGGCTTCATTGTTTGCCTTTCTTTCTAGCCCAACCATTTAGCACAGTGTCTTTCTGTAATAAATGCTTGTTGACAGACTAATTCCAACCCTATCGTTCTTTCCATCTCGCCAAGTTGCTCCCTAGGAGTGGATAGGGTAGGCTGAAATGAAATGCAGTATGGCCCTATAGGATAGTGAGCCTGGATCCTACCTCAGACACTAGCTGTGTGACCCTGGCCAAGTCACCTAACCTCTTAGCCTCAGTTCCTCATAGATGAGGAGGCTTCTGAAGCCTCTTCCAGCTTCATGATCCTCTTTGCTCAGCATTCTTTGTACCTCACATCACTTCGAGGGGCTACCCCTCCTTTCTTTTCTTCTATTCAGTAGCAATGATAACAGCTTTAGACAGCATGGTATAAAGCATGGGGCGGGGGGAACATCCTTGTCAGGAGTCAGGAAGCCCTGGCTTCAAACCCTGCTTCTGACCCACTCTGGCCCTGGATCCCAGCCTAGAACCTGCTCCCACTCCCCCACCCCCCATCCCCCACATCCCCATTCCCAATGTTGATGAAATCACAAGTTAGGGCAAAAAAGAAAAAAAAATCAACAAACATTTAGTAAGTTTCTACTATATTAAAGCATCTACCAGTGAAATCACAGGTTAAACTTTTCAAAACAAAACAAAACAATTTGTTAGAAGCTATGCCGTGCCCTGGAAGGTCCTGTATCTTACTGAAGATATATAATATATATAATACATATGTACACGATTATCCGATGAGAGAGACAGCAGTAAGAATAAACTAGGGAGAGAGGTTGCTAGGTGAATAGATAGATGGAGAGATAGGCAGATGAACAGACAGACAGATGGATGGATGAATAGATAGATGATAGATGAATGGATGGATAGATAATAGAAAGATGGATAGATAGGCAGATGAACAGACAGATGGATAGATAAATAGAACAGATGGATGGATAGATGAATAGATAGACAGATAGAACAGATGGACGGATAGATGAAGAGACAGATAAATGGATAGGTAGATAAATGAAAAGACAAAAGGATGGATGGATGGATAAATAGGTAGATGGATAAATGTAGTTATTGTCCAAGACATCTGGAGGCAGTAGGCAGATGGGTATATCCAAAGCCCAAAGAGAGAAGAGGACAGGGAAAAGCCATGGTGCCCTGCATTTACATGGGCTATCTTCTCCAAATCCCTTGTGCCTGTTTCCATATTCCACTCTCCATCTCAGTGTGGGGGACTGGCCAGTCAGAAGACCTGGGTTTGTTGTATGATTATAGTTTGGTGGAAAGAGCCTTGTTCCAGAAGAGGCCCAGATTTTAGCCTCTCTGGGTAACCTTGAGCAAGTTACTTCCCCCAGCCTCAGTTTCCCTAACTGTAAAATGGGGTTAATACTACTTTCATACCAGACTTTAACCTCAAGTCCTCTGTAAATAGAGCATTGTTTTTGTATCTTCCTCCTTAAAACACCATGTGAAACCACTTTGAAAACTGGAGTACTCTCTGTTAGTGTGAATTACCATTCTTATTCCCAGTTGACTAGATGTTCAGATTCAGTTGAGATGGTCCTATGTTCTTCTGACCAGTAGAGAGTGGGCAGGTGTCCCCAAAGATGTCCCTGGTAACTCGACTCTAGTCTTTCCCTGTAGACACTGAAGTTCTTTGCTTTGCCCCGTAAATGGCCATGATCAAAGCCTCAGTTGATGCTATGGTAGCTCACAGGGTATCCCACACCATTTACCAGGTTGGGCATAGAGAATTGTACTACAGAGCAAGCCCATGAAAACTCATTGCCCTACACAGACCAAGTTATTTTTCGTGGGGTGAGGAAAGAAATGCAAGTTGGGGAACTTTGTATTTCTGCAGCTGAGAGCCTCAGTCTGGGGGCTGTAGACAAAGGGAGGGAGCAATCTCTTTCATCTTCTTCCACCAACTTTTCAGCCTTTCATTTCCTTTACAGATCACTGACAGGCAGTCCCATTCTGATACTCCTTAAAAGCAAGAAATACTCAGGTTAGTCAGTAAGTCAGACATTTATTAAGTGCCTACTAGGTGCAAGATACTGCCCTAAGCTTTGGGAATTCAAAGAAAGGTAAAATATTTTGCTTTCATTTTCTCCATCAAGGAGAATGATTTTCCATCTAGAAAGAGTAGTATATATAGAATATGGGGGCAGCTAGATGGCTCAGTACATAAAGTGCTAGCCCTGGAGTTAGACGACCTGAGTTAAAATCTGGCCTCAGATGCTTACCAGCTGTGTTACTTCACCCTATTTGCCTCAGTTTGCTTATCTGTAAAACGAGCTGGAGAAGGAAATGGCTAAATCACTCCAGTATCTTTACCAAGAAAACCCCAAATGGGGTCACAAAGAGTTGGACCCCCTTAAAGGAGGTAGGATAAACCTATCTTTGAGGGAATTGAGCAATGCTATCATTATAAGACCTTTGCAAGACAGCACCTGGTATGTAATCATTTTAAAGAAGATAAAAACTGGAGACCCAGAAATGTCTAATTCTAGGGTCCTAGAAGACCTGCTAACAGTATACTGAGAAAATACTGAAAAATGGTTTGGAAAGCACGTAGGGAGATTGGAAAAGAGGTTCCTGTTTTCAAAAGCATGGAAGGAATTGTAGTCTGGAGACTGCAGGCAAATAAGTTTAATTTTACTCTCTGGGGGCAAAAGTTGAAAACATTGATGATTAAGCAGATGGTTCATGAGAATTTCGAAAACAACTCAGTGATCACTAGGAACCAATACTGGTTCAAAAAAAGTCACGTCAAATTAACCCACTTCAGTTTTTTAATTGTGTCTGACTCTTTGTGACCCCTTTGGGGTTTTCTTGGCAAAGATACTGGAGTGGTTTGCTATTTCCTTCTCCAGCTCATTTTACAGATGAGCAAACTGAGGCAAAAAAGAGTTAAAGGACTTGCCCGGGGTCACACAGCTAGTAAGTGTCTGAGGTCAAACTTGAACTCAGGTCTTCCTGACTCCAGGCCCTCCCTACACTCTATCCACTATGCCACCTACCTGCTAGATAAATCCAATTAACACCCATGCCTTAAAACAACAACTAGGGATCATAGATTGACGCACAGATAGCATATGCCTTGATTCAGCAAGGTTTATGATAAAGACACTTGGGATATTCCTGTAGACAAGGTAGAGAAAGGTGAGCTGAATGATAATCATATACTTAGGTAACTGATAAATGGGTTAATATCAGCCCAAAAGTCTCTGAGGAAATGACACAGGGTTCTGTCCTTTGCTTTGTCTTGTTCAACTTTTTCATCAATGACCTGGACAATGGCATGCCTGCTGAAATTGTGAATGATTAGATAGAGTAACCAATTTGGTAGCTGACAAGACTGAGGCACTTCCTGGCTCTGGAGTCAGAAGACCTGGATTCAGATGTTACCTTTGATGCTTACTCCTGGTGTGATTTTGGCCAAGTTACCTCACATCCCTGAGCCTCAGTTTCCTCATCCGTAAAGTGAAGTTAGGTGGGCTACTACAAGGCTCTTTCCAGCTTCTAGATATATAGAATCTTTGGGGAGGGGGGGCAATTGGGTTAAGTAACTTGCCCAGGGTCACACAGCTAATAAGTGTCTGAGGCTGGATTTGAACTCAGGTCCTCCTGACTCCAGGGCTGATGTTCTAGCCTCTGTGCCACCTAGCTGTCCCTTAGATGTAGGATCTTTTTTAATCCTCTGAACTCAAATGATCTTGACAGGCTGGATTACCAGACAGACGGTAGAAGGTAGAAGACAGCAGGACCACAAGAAGTCCTGTATTTGGGGGTTCAGAAAGAAAGTTAATTGTACAAGAACAGACTTGGAAAAGACCTTGCCTGACAGCAGTTCACTTGAATGAGACCGGGCTTTCTTTGCTGTTGACTAGAAGACTTTGGTGAGCCGAGAGTGTGCTCCAAATACTTAGAAAGCTCCTTCAAGTTCAGGTTGTATTCCCAGAAGCACCTTGGCACCCTGTGGAGGCCACATTGGGTCTGTCAGACCTCATGTAGCATCCTTCAATTGGAGCATCACATCTTTAGAGAAAAATGAAATCTTTTATCGAAAATTTCATATTGAGCACCATTACAACCACCTCATCTTGTTTAATAACTATTTAGAGTTAAGTTAATGAATTCCAATGAATAAAGTACAATATATATTTTTTTCTTTTTCTCCCATGTCTATTGAGGCCCATCTGGCCACTTTTCCTTTCCCCCTCTCTCCAACTAGAGTAGAAATGACGTCTTATAACAAATATGTATAATCAGACAAAAGAAGAAGAAAAAAGAGCCCCCTGGTAGGGAGTGGGCAGAGGAGCTGGGGCTTCTCAGAGCTCCTACTCTTTGGAATGGCTCCTGTCTGCCAGGAGGAATTTCCCTAGGAAGCCAGGCCCTGAGGCAGAGTTTCCAAGGGCTCAGGTCCCTGCTAATCCTTCCCTGCCCCCACATGAAAAATAAAAGTGCCCCATGAGCTAGTAACCTCCCAGGACTCTGGGCACATGTCCATCTGCCCCCTAGGGGAGTCTGATTCTGGGAACTCTTACATAGCTTACATTGAGGGTCATAGGACCGAAAGCTGGAAAAGGGTCCAAGAGATTATTTGGTCCTCTGACTCCTAACCTTGTCCTTTTATCAGTAGCTATGCAGTCTCACCATTGGGCCACACTGCCTCCACTTGAATGGATGTATACTTTGGGGCAGTGGAAAGGGGGCTGAGTTTTCCTACTGATTGAGGAGTCCTGAGACAAGTTCAGACCCAGGCTTTGTAACTTATTATCTGTGTGACCTTGGGCAAGTCACTTTGCCTCTGGGACTCAGTTTCCTCATCTGTAAAGTAAAACGTGGGTCTCACTGAGCTATAAGGACCCTTCCAGCTCAGATACATGATGCTATCTGAATGTAAGGGGAGTTAAAAGAGGCCTGAAGTCATGCGACTCCCTGATTTGGAAGGAGGGAAAGAATTAGGGAGCCATAGGATCATAGATGCATTTTAGAGGCATTTGAGCCAATCCCCTTATTTTACAGATAAGGAAGCTGAGACCCAGAGCAGTTAAGTGATTTGCCCAAGGTAAATGTTTGAATTAGGGTCTGAACTCAGGCATTCCGGACTCAAAGTTCATTACTCTCACTCTTGAAGTCCAACCCAACCCCCCTCATTGTTCAGTTAAACAAAGGCCCAGAGGGGGGAAGGGTCATGCTTTTGTTGGGTCTTCAAGGCCCTCCACAACCTGGGGCCACTCTCCCTTTGCAGCCTCCTCCTCCTCAGCCCATCCTCTTTGGGCCTGCCAAACTGGACTTTCTTACCTCCACATCTTAGCCTATGCCTGCCATGCACTTCCTCCCTGGCTTTGCCTTTTGGATACCTACTCAGCCTTTAAAACTCAAAACCTTTCTTGATCCCTGATTTGGGTTATAATCTCTGCCTCTTCCTCCTTCAATAATACTCTTCTGCCTCATCAGAACATTTTCCCCTGTGTTTTTGTGTTCTGTTGATTGATTATAGTTATCTATGGATGCATGCTCTCTTCCATTATTAGATTATAAACTCTATGAGGGCAGGGGGGTCATTTCCCTAGCACCCAGTACCATGATCTGTACACAGTTGGGATAGGTAAGGCACTAGTCCTGGAGTTTCAGGGGTGAAGAGAATCCTTGAGTGAGGAAACTCCCTCTACCCTTACAGACTGACATCTCTGCAGCCACAGTTAGAGAGTTGCCCAAAATATTGAGAGGTTCAGTCACTCACTTGCCCAGGGTCATACAACCTGTTGGTTTTAGAGACTGGATTTGAACCCAGGATTTCCTGGTTGCAAGGTTAGCTTTCTATCCCTGCCTCTGTACACACAATAGGAGAAGGGAACAAACATTTATAAAGCATCTACTGTGTTCTGGGCAATTCACTAGGTCCTGAGAGTTCAAATACGAAGGGGAGATAGTCTTTACCCTCAAGGGCCTTTCATTCTACAGGTAGATGCAAAATAAATGCCAGCAGGTGAGGGTGAGGGGAGAGCAGCTTGGGAGGAGGAGATCAGGAAAGATGTAGAAGATGGTGCTTCAGCAGAACCTTAAAAATAACAAGGGATTCTAAGAGGAGGCAATGAGGAGGAAAGCGGTTGGAGGCTTGGAGGACAGCCATTGCAAAGATTCAGAGATGGGAGTTCAAGCATAGTGTTTTAGGAACAGAAAGAAGGCCAGTCCGGTTGGACCAGGAAGTGTGTGAAGGGGTACACTGGGTAATCAAGGTATTTATTATACTGGCAGCAAGGTAGAAGGGAAAGAGTGTGGGACTAGGGAGGCCCAGAAGACCCAGATCTTAGTTCTGGCTTTGTTGCCAGTTCTCTGTGTGACCCTGAGCAAGTCTCTTCTTCTCCCCAGCTCTCGGTCTTTCTTTGTACAATGAGGGGACTTTGGACTAGTTGATTTCTAAACTGTCCTCCAGAAAGAGGCATCCGCTGGCATCCACTGACCCAGTTCCATAATTGTGCTGGGAAGACTGTGCCGTAATAACCAAGCTTGGGCCTCCTCCCCCCTACAGAGCAGACTGGGCCCTGAGCTGGAAGGCTGTGCTCCTTTCTCTATAACCCTTTTCATCTAATCTTACCCCCTCCAACTTCTGCCTGAATGACTCCGATCCTTGCCCTGACCCCATTCTTTCCTCTGGCTTTCATCGGAGACCCAGATTTGGAGGATTACAGGGTAGTCAGGGCCAGTGGGAAAGGACATTTGCTTGGGTGGCAAGATTCACAGGCCCCTCTGCCTGGGAACAGTCAAATTCCAAATGGATGGAAGAGAGTGCTCCCTTTCCCTCCCTCTCTCTCTTTTCTCCCCCGCCTCTCCCTCCCTCTTTTACTCCTCTCTCCTCCCTCTCCCTCTCCCTTTCTTCCTCTCCCTCTCACTCTCTTTCCAGACAACTTCTCTTAGATGTCCAAGTCTGTGAAGTCTGTCCATATTGGGGGAGTGGGAACAAACAAATACCAAATTATCTTCTGAGCATAACAATGGATGCGATTTCTCTTTCCTGGCATTTGATGACATCGCCATTTGCCACCAGCTGTTAGTCTGAAGGCAAAGGCTTCAGCTGCTGTTTCTCCTTTCATATGTGACACTGTTCACTGGAGATGTTGGACCATAAGAACGGCTTGAATTTCTACAGCACTTTATGGCTGACAAATTACTCTCCTCATCACAGCCTGGTGGGAAATATTCTTTTCTCCCATTTTGCCGACAACAGTTAAAGAAGGTTGCAATTGAGGTTTTTAGAGTTTGAGGAACTGGCCCACAAGAGGCAGGGATCGTGGTACAATGGGAAAAGCATTGGATTTGGGGTCAGAGGCCCTGACTGCTACCGACTGCATGACCTTAAAGAAGTTGTCAGCTCTCAGGGCCTCAGTTTCCTTATCTATAAAATGACCGGTTGGATTAGATGGTCTCTGAGGACCCTTCCAAATTTAGATTTTATGATCCTATGATTAGATGACCTCCCAGTTCCTTTTTAGTTTGAAATTTATGGAAGTCACACAAGAAGTAGGTGGCAACCTGGGGTCCATGGGATTTAAGGTTGAAACCTTCTAGGTCATCTAATCCAGGCCTCTTATTGTACAGTTAAAGAAACAGAGACCCAGAGACTTTGCCTCAGGTCACAAAGCTAGTAAGGGGCAGAATTGACATTTGAACTCAGAGCTTTTGACTCCAGATGTAATGCTTTCCCTACTGTGTCACGCTCCCTCAGGTTTCCATTGTACATTTCTGATCTGTTCCAGTGCATGTATTCATCAATTTTTAGGGGAATTTGGGTTTAGGGGAAGTTGTCTTTTTTCCATTCTTCTATTCAGAACCCCTCCTGCCCACTCTTCCTTCCATAGAGATGGATGTGCCTAATTGAGAGAGACAGACAGAGACAAAGGGAGAGAGAGACAGAGAGAGATGGAGAGAGAGGAGAAAGAAAGAGACAGAGGGAGAGAGACAGAGGCAGAGACACAGATAGACACGGAGGGAGATGCAGAGAGAGGGACGTGCCGAGGAGTTCCCACTCAGAAAACAACAAATGTAACAAACCACAGGATACACACAGTGATTAGCTGACACAAGTGATCCAAGAAATACAGACATCCTTAGTGAAATGCATACCCGTCGCTTTGAAATGTACACGATCCCCACAGTTTCGGAGGCACACACGCAAGTCAAGCCAGCATGCTAAAGATCGAACAGATACAGCTTTAAGAGGATTCAAAAATACACATGGAAGCAAACACCCCATCAGCCCTCCACAACATTGTTCCGTCTGCCTCCAGAGCCTTTGCCTCCCATTTCCTCACTCCCCTCCCCTCAGCCTATGACCCTGTTAGAAATGTGGAAACCAAGGAAACTTAGAGGTCAACTCGTCCAGGACCCTCTTTTCACAGAATAGAAAACTGGTCTAAGGGAACTTGGCTTGCCTAAAGTCACTCACGTTTAGTTTTGTGCCTTTCTAATGGTTTTTTCATGAAATTGTGTATGCTAATTACATCGAGGCAGCAAGGAGACCTGGGTTCTAGTCTCACCTCTGACTCAAATTGTGAGACCCTGGGCAAGTCACTTAAAACCTCAGGGTGAGCCAAGAGACCCTCTAAGACGAACCTAATGTTTAAAAAAAAAAAAAAGACTAACCTAATGTAGATGGGCTGCTCTCAATTGGCAGTTGGGTATTAGCACTACTTGTGTTTCTCTGTGAGGGCTGGGACTGTGGCTTTATTTAGACCATATATCCCATCTGATGTATCTTGTCTAAACATCATAGCTCCCTCAACAAGAGTGTGATTTTGTAGGTGTAGGGAGTTCCCTGTATGGGCAATCCCTTCACAGATCTGCAACTTAAGACCTTGAACCTGGGTCTTCCTGACTCCTTCCTGTCTGCTTGTTCTGCCCATAGTCTTTCTCCACATCTTTGCAGATGTCTCAGGGACATCCCAAATTCAGTCTGTCAAAAAAGGAACTCATTATCTCCCCCCTCAAACGGCCCCATTTCTCTTGAGGGCATCACTTTCTTAAATTCTCTGGGCCTCAGTGTCTGGTCTGTAAAAGGAGAGGTTTGGAGTTGATCTTTGAATTGCCTTCAAGCTCTCAATCTATATATGCTTAGCACAGTGCCTGGTATAGAGTAAATGCTTAATAAATTTTCTCTCTCTTTTCTCTCCTCCTCCTCTCCCTCCCTCTTTCCCTCACCCTGCCTCTCTGTCTCCCTCCCTCCCTCTTTCCCTCACCCTGCCTCTCTGTCTCCCTTCCTCCCTCTCTCCATTCATCTAGGCTCTGATTCTTCCAGTCACCCAGGTTGGTGTCACCCTTTCTCTTTCCCTCAATCTACCCAAGTCCCATGACCGAGCAGTTGCCAATTCTTCGAGCAGAGTGTAAACTGCTTGAAGGCAGGGCTTTTTGCTTCTGCCTCTTCATTTCTAATAGAGAATAAATTAAGCTTAATACAAGTTTATTGCCTTGAATCGGGTGAATGGAATTGAAGTAAGCAGAGCTGACGTTAGAATCCAGTTTCTCTGACCCCATACGCCCCTCTGGCTTTCCTTTCCAGGCGCCCCCTCCCTACCCCCAGCTCTCCCTTATAAGCAATTCCTCTATTTTCCCAACTCTGCTGGGCTGCCCCAACATTGAAACCTCCCGAGCCACCCCCCCCTTACAGCGGCCCCCACCCCGTGGCCCCCTCCCCTCCGGGCTGCACTGTAGAGAAACACACATACTTTGCTGAAAGCTGTTCACCCCGGAGCATTGGGGGGGGGTACCCCACAAGAGTTGGAGCCATCTCTGTCTCCAGCTTTGGGGGGGAAGCGGAGGGAGACAATAGGGCGGGTGTCTTAAAGCCCCTCGCAAAACCCGCCCCATTCCCCCGGAGCAGCCCCGCTAGAAGCGGCCTTGCATCTGGCGGCAGCTGGGGCGCCGGCCTGCTTCTCATTTGGGCCCCTTTTGGTTTCGATTAGCTGTTCTGTTAGTCAGTAACGCTGTGGAGTACATGGGAGCTGAGCTGGAGCGGAGAGGTTTTTTTTTCCCCCCCGCTCCCTCCCCCTCCCCTCCGCCTTTCTCCCCCTCCCACCCCCCCTCCTGGCAGTCGCAGACTCCAGATGTTCAGAACGCTGGTTGGGAAGTTCTCCTGGCGCCACTGAGGGCAGAGGGCAGGGGAAAGGCACGCGAGCTGGAACCAAAAGGACTCAGTCACTGAAGGATTTGGCCGCCTGCCCTGGCCCTCTGCTGGCACATTCCCCAGCTCTCCCCTGGCCATCTGTTCCCCCAAAACACTTTCAGAGCCTCATCGTCACTCAGGATACAACATTGAGAGCAGCTGTTTTTGAGGCAGGAGGAAAAACCATGCAAAAGGTCCTTTGTGAGAGAGGAAACTTGGTTATGAATAACAGCCCCACTGTCAGAGCGCCGCCGCCGTCAACGTGGTGGGACGGCTGGGGCTTGGGGCCGGAGTCCTCAGGTTTTCTCCACCTTATCTTTTTTTTTTTTTAATGTTATATTCTCCCTCTCCTGCACATTAACGCGGGGTTTTTTTCCCTCCAGGTGTGTATAAAGGCCCTCTTATTAATGCTCCCTGTGGCCTTTCGTTCCCTTGGACGTTCACTCGGGCTGGGGACGGTTGGAAAGGATGGAGTCCAGCCTGGAGGAGTAGCAGATGAGGCGGCGCCATTGGGGAGGGCAGAGTGTGGAGAGAGCCTGATTGATTTTTAGATTTTAAAAAAGAACAACACGGCAGCAGAAAGTAATTATATCCGTCACCCTAAATAAACCCAGAACATAAAGCTGTTACAGTGCAGAAGGGGTGGGGAGAGGCAGGGAGGGACTCAAAGGGAGAATGATATAGAGACCTTGTCAGTTCATCAGAAAGCGGGCTGAGACCAAATTCTCATTAATAGACGCCCCTATCCACCCACCGGTTCTGTGGGCAGCTTGGCTTAGCCTATTGAATCATACCATGGTGTGGAGTCTTTTTAGAGACTTGCCTCATGGGACAGCCCTCTGAGATATGTTTGTTGGTGTGAGGAATCGGGGTGCTCTGGGGAGCGTTTGGCGACTTCTTCATTAAGTGAAGCCTCTTTGGGGTCAAGTCTGCTGCCTGGGGAGAGTGGCTGGAAGGTCAGAGGGGATGGAGGAATAGAGCAAAGAAAGAGTCACTGAGTGACGGCACAACCTCGTTCCCCCCCTCTTCTCCACCCCACCCCATTCCTCCAGAGCTGTCTAGAGTGCAGTTAACACTGGGGGTCCTGTTGTCCTTTTCCCACCTTATTTAACATGTGAAATGGACAGAAATTCCTTTCTGGAGCTGGATTTCTTTTGTGTGTGGTGTCTGACAGTGAGGAGGATCTCAGGCCCCCTGAGGCTGGGGGTGCAGGGGGAAGGGAGGAAGGAAGGAATGTTTTCATGTGTCAGATAATGACAGGAGACCCTGAACGTCACGTGGGGTTCTTCTGTTTTCCTCTTTCAGTGCTTCCCCTTCTCTACCTTTTCTCTCGCTCCCCTGCGTCCCTCCCTCCATTACGGGGCAGCCACTCCGCTCTAGCAGTGGAAAAAGTCGATCATAAAGTTTGCCGGTGGGTGGTCAGCTTTTTACAGCCCAAAGCGTGGGGATTTGGAGGACCTATTTGCATTTCATCTGTACTTTGCTCAGCCTCCAACACTTCATTTTTCCTTCTTTCCTCTCCTCTGTTTTGCTTTTGGGTTCCAGTTGGAATGAGCAGCAGCCCAAGAAAGGCTAAATATTTATAATTATCCAAATATCGGGGGCATCCATCTCATCTGTCCAAAGTGCCTGAGTTCCTCTAAAGGACTTGGACAAGTGTTCATTAGATAGGCTCCCTCTCCTGAGGGGAAGGGGTGGGTAGAACCAGAGCGGGGAGCTGAGCTCAAGAAAGGTCCTTCCTGGTCACATGATTTCTAGAGTATTGAGTTCAGCGCTGAGAAACTGAACTGAAGAAGGACATTGAGAAACCGGAGAGCTTCCAGAGAGAGGCGACACTTCTCGCCCGCCCTCCACGTAGAGGCCGAGTGCTGGGCTGACCGAATTGCCCCTTGTGAATTAGAATGTGAGCTCGTGGAGGGCAGGGTCTGCTTTTGTTGCTTTTTGTTTTGACTTTGTCTCCAGTGTCAGGCAAACAGTAAGGGCTTAATAAATGCTGTAGGCTCCAGTACAATGCTTGTACTTCACCTCTCAGTGCTCTAGGCAACTCTCTGACTGAACGTGGCGGAAAAAGTGCCCGCCTACATGGGTAGAGGGAGTTTCCAAGAGTTCCTGACACAAACCCAGTACCTACTGCTTGCCTGTCAAGTATGAGCTCTTCTGTGTCATCTAAGGGACCACTAGATGGTGCCCCAGTGCACAGAGCACCAGGCCAGAGTCAGGAAGAGTCACCTTCCTGAGTTCAAATCTAGCCTTAGACACTTACGAGCTGTGTGACACTGGGCAAGTCACTGAACCCGGTTTGCATCAGTTTCCTCATCTGTAAAATGGGCGGGAGAAAAAAAAGTGTCAAACCACACCAGTATCTCCACTAAGAAAACCCCCGCACACACATATATTTACATATGTGTATGCTGCCTTCCCCTATTAGAATTTGAACTTCTTGAGGGCAGGGTGTGTTTTATTTCTGTCTTTACAATCCCATTGCTGGCCCTTAAAATACTCACTTGTTTGAATCAGGAGAGTTCATTCTATATGAGAAGATGGTGAAGACAATGGAGACATTTGGCCAGAGAAAATGACTCAGGGGATATGATAACTGTTTTTGAGTACTGGAAAGGATGATATGTGTAACAGGGATTAGCTTTGCTCAGCCTGGCCCTAGAGGGGAGGTGGAAATCCCAGAGAGGCAGGGTGAAAAGTGACTTACCCAGGGTCACACAGCTAATAAATGTCTGAGGCCAGATTTGAACTCAGGAAGACGAGTCTTCCAGATTCCAGGCATGATATTCTATCCACTGCACCACCTAGTTGCTTTTGAAGTCTGGAAGGCCTGAGTTCAAATCCACCTCAGACACTAAGCTGTGTGACCTTGGTCAAGTCACTTAACCTGTCTGCCATGGTCTCCTCAGTTCTAAAATAGGGATCATAGTAGTACCTACTCCCAGGTTTGTTATGAAGATCAAATAAGATATATGTAAAGTGCTTAGCACAGTGTCCAGCCAATAGGGAACGCTAAATAAAATGCTTCCTTCTCTCCTTCCTCTCTCCCTTCTTTTCCTTCCTTCTTGAAGAACCTGGACCAGGGTCTTTTCTCTCACTCATTGGCGCCCCATGCTCCCACTCAGTATCCTTGGGGAAAATCACCCTGTGTAGGTTTAGCTCTCGTCTAGCCCGCCCCAAAAGAGTGTAGAAAGGCCCTAAATCTACAATGTAGATCAGGTATAGGACTGCTATTTGTTTCTCCCAGTATCAAAGAAATGCTTAGAATACAAAACAGTCACAAGCTTGCATTGACCAATACGTGAAGTAACTTGGAATTAGTCTTAAACTCTCCCAGGAGACTGATACTAAGACATCAGAACATAAAGTAGTTTGCAGGATGCTGAATGGACATTTCACCTTCCCTCAGCTCAGCACAATCTCCTTCAGGTTCTTTGTCTCGCAGCAATCCGTGCCAGGGGCTAAGCACTCCCCTCTGTTGGTGATTGCCTTCTCCTCCAAGAGGCATTATAATAGCCAGATGGGACACCTCCCAGAGCGCAGCTGGCACCGACTGAGTGAGCAAATGGCTCCTGACCTCTTGTACTCACATGGCTGCCTCCAAGGCTAGAAACACCCATCCCAGGATTACTGCTTAGACACCTTCGCTCAAGGAAAGACACACAAAGTAGAAGAGGCAGCCAGAAGCCCAAGCTCACCTAGGTAAACACCTGCTCACGTGTCACGTGTGAACAGTGATCATTTGCACCCTACCCATCTAGGGAAGTGTGTGTGTGTGTGTGTGTGTGTGTGTGTGTGTGTGTGTATGTGTGTGTGAGCTCTTGAGTGCATGGGAGTGCCTGGTGGGGGGAGGAGGAGAGAGGGAAAGAAAGCACATGTTCTAGAGACAAAAAAGAAGACAGAGGGAGAGCAAAAGCAGTCCCCCTTCTATAGTGCTGTAGATTTGCTCACATCCCACCCCCCCCAATCACCGAGATGTAACCCAGGCTACACCCAGTGTTTGCTCCATTATCCCAAATCACCAAGTGCTTTAGCAAAGGAAGAGGCCCAGGCTCCAGTTAAGGGGATGGGCTCACCTGGTTACTTCCCTTATATTTACATGTGTACACATTGTCTGGGGCAGCTAAAAGGGCAGTGGATAGGGCGCTGGGCCTGGAGTCAGGGTGACTCATTTTCCTGAGTTCAGATCCAGCCTTGGACATTTATTAGCTGTGTGACCCTGGGCAGATTAGAATTAGAAAGCTAAGCAAGGTCAGCTAGAAGAGGGGGTTTTAATGCTTTTGAATGTGCCCTGAACCCCTTTTCAGTCTGTTGAAATCTGAAGACCCGTTCTCAGAATGTTTTCAAATGCATAAATAAATCAGATTAGAAAGGTAACCAATTACAGTATATAGTTAACAAAGAATATATTTTTTAAAGTTCATGGACCCCAGCTTAAGAATCACTGTGCTACATTTATTGCCTTCTCTATAGGTGGAGGATGGGTGGATGGAAGAGAATTTGGAACTTAAAATTTTTTTAAAATGTGAAAAAATATTATACATATGTGTGTGTATGAAAGAATCACTGTGCTGGAAGAAGGCCCACTAATCTCAGGAAGAAGTGACATCTAAGGGGCAGCTAGGTGGCCCAGTGGATAGAACTCTGGCCTTAGAGTCAGGAGGACCTGAGTTCAAATCTGACCTCAGACACTTGACACTTACTAGCTGTGTGACCCTGGGCAAGTCACTTAACCCTGATTGCAGAAGTGA